TCCTGGAAGGGCCCTAGCGATGCATTCACCGGGCCGTAGGCTTCTGGGACACCTGCGAAAGTGAGACGTTTTAACTGTAAATGGTAAAGACCTCTCTGTCTCTTCCCACTCTGCCTGCCTCCGGCACGTTGAGAGTGGCTGCGGCCAGTTTGGGGATCCAGGTATGGGATCAGTCAGCCTGGCTACCCCGGGTGTCGGAAGGGTTTCCGGGAAGCTGCCATCATCACCTGTGTCCGTCACGGGGCTTCGTGCCATGAAGGCCCAAAGCCACGAGACACGTGCGATGGGAATGTGTCCAGTGGCTCGCGTCACTCTAAGCACGTGGACGGTAGGCGAGAAGCAAAATTTGAAAAGGAACCAGCAGCTGGTCTGTGGAGGTATGATGGGGATGGGCACACACAGAAAGCGGGGTTTCTGGACTTCCGTGACCTCTGCCAGCGTTTTCAACTTGTAAGTTGCCGTGATCTCGTTTCGCTCTAAGTAATGACTTGTGTACCCACCTTTGTATTCTTTTCCTTAAAAGCCTCTCTCCACACCGTGGGAGTCTTCAGGCTCCCCAAACTGGGGCCCAGTTGGCATGGGGCTGCACCATTTTCTGATTTTCTCCGGGCCGTGGCTCCTGTGCCGATAAGGATCACGTGGCTGTGAGGCCACCCTCCAGGCGGATGCCCAGTGTTTCGGGGGGTGGGGGGTGGGGGGGGTGCGTGCGCCCCCGTGGGCCTGGGTGCGTGTCCTTCCACCTGGTGTGCGTCTGGGTATCTGGGCCGCCAGCCTCTTCCTGGCCTCCCTCTCAACAGCGGGCCTCATCTGGGCTTGGGGGATGGGAGCTCGTGTCCCACACGCGCTGGGCCCCTAGGGAGGCGGGCCTCGAACTGAGACAGCGCAGCTGGTGAAGTGTCCGGGCTTCCCCTCCCCCGCTGAGACGTCTCCCCAGGCCAGGGCTCCAAGACTCAGCTCCTCCCTCTTTGTTCTTCAAAGGGGAGGCTGGCTTCCTGGGACCCCCCCTGGGTCCTGGGTAGGGGGAGTTCCTGGAGGGTTAGGTCCTGGGGGGGGGGTGTTGGGGGGTTGGGGGTTGGGAAGTAGGAGGACCAGGCCCCTGGGCCAAAGGAAGAATCAGGACAGAAGACCCCAAGTAATCCAAAACGAGACAGGCTCATCCTTTTGTTCCCTTACGGGGCCAACCGTTCTTTTAGGGGAACCGGGCCGATGAACATTGTGTAAAACCGATGTGTCCAACGGTGATAAGTGTGGTGGAGAGAAGTGAAGCAAGGGGGTAGAGAGCGGAAATTGTACTTTCAGAGAAAGACTCATTGAGAAGGTGAAATTTAAGAGGTGAGAGTAAAAGCTACTGGGACGCCTCTGGGAAGGGCGCTCCAGGCAGAGACCAGCCGGCAGGAAAGCTTTGAGGGAAAACACGCCTAACTGGTCCAAGGAGCAGAGGGCAGCCTCTGGCCGTGTGGGAGTTGAGATCAGAGAGAGAAACGGGGCGGGGGCACTGATCGGCTAGGACCTTCTAGGCCGTTTCCCGGTTTCCCGGGAAGGACTTGGGCAGGACTCTCCCACTCCTAAAGAGATGAGAAGGCTTTGGAGGGCTTCTTCCTGCCCGCCGCCCCCCCCCCCCCGGCTTTTTTGTTTTGTTCTATTTCTAGCATTTTTAATTGCTATATAATGTCAAACCTCCGCAAAAGCCCATTGTTTCCGTTTGTCTCATTTGCTTTGTCATTTCTCTCCAAAGACAGCATGCATAGAAAATACTCACTTTCCAGGGTTGCTTGGGTGGCTCAGTCGGTTGAGGGTCCAGCTCCTGGTTTTGGCTCAGGTCATGATCTCATGGTCGCCGAGATCGAGCCCCGGGTGGGGCTCTGTGGCTAGCAACGTGGAGCCTGCTTGGGATTCTTTCTCTCCCTCTCTCTTTCTGCCCCTCCTCCACTCCTGCTGTCCCTCTCTTTAAACAAATAAACCTAAAAAAAAAAAAAAAAAAGAAAATATTTGCTTTCTGAACCATTTGGAAGTACACTGGAGACATTAGGCCCTCTTGCCCCCAGTTACTGGGTGTGTCTTTCCCAAGAACAAGGACATTCGTAACATAACAGTACAGTTATCAGTATCAGGATATTAAAGTTAATATAATACCATTATTTAATCCCCAGTCCATATTCAAATTTCCTCAAGTGTTCCAGTGATGTCCTTAATAGCTTTTTTTTTTCCTGATCCAAGATGCGGTCCAGGATCGCATGGTTGCATTTAGTTGCTGCGTCTCTGCGGTCTCATTTAATCTAGAAGAATCTATCGTTAAATCTTCACAGTTTTGAAGAGACCAGCGTGATTTTGGAGCTGGTCCTTCCGTTTAGTTTGTCCGATGGCTCTTCACGGTTAGAATCAAGTTATTGAGATTATGTATTGGGGGCAGGAACATCCCAGAAGCGACGGCGTGTCCTTCTGAATCACGTCAGAAGACACGTGTCAATTTGTCTCAATACCGAGATGCTGACTTTGATCACTCAGTTGGATGGCATTGGCCACATCTGTCCACTGTAAAGTTATTAGCCCCCCCACCCCGAATAGTAATTAATATGTACTTTGTGGGAAGACACTTTGAGACTCTTCGCTACATACAGCCCATTAAAGTTCAACCACTACTCCAGTATCCATTGATGACTTCTAACTCCAGCACTGTTTCTGCATTTATTAGTTGGGCAGTTGACTATAAAATATAAAAAGAGCTATCCCCTTCCTTCCCATTTTACTTCTTTTTCCTGTTATGAACTTTGGAGTCTCGATTCAGTGAATCATGCTCCACCACACTCGTATTTTAATGCTCAGATTGTCCCAGATTTAGCCAATGGGACCTCCTTTAACTGTAACCCTGAGCAGTTGGGTCTCTTTTTAAAATAGATACGCGAGATTCTTTGAGCATTTCTTTCCTTTCCTGGGCAACAAGACGTTCCAAGATCGTCTTATAATTCCCTAACCTGGAACCAGCCTTTTTTCCTAGGAGCCCTGGTTCATTCGAGTGGAACGCGGTATTTAGTAACCAAGATCCGGGCACTTGGTGTGCTTGTTGGTTCTTGTGTATCTTTCCTTCTAGGCTCTCTCAGTGGAGCAAGCTAGGAGATATATGTATTTCTATATGTGGTGTATGCGCACACATTTCTTTCTGTATCTACACACGTTAAAAGCCATGAATTCATTTTGATATCCCATTGGAAGGCTTCAAAGAGAGGAAGGACAGAATCTGATGTATGTTTTAAAAGGATCACTAAGCCCAATGTGTTCAGAGGAAGAAGAGAAGAAGCAAGGAAATAATTTAGGGGCTATTGTAACAATCTGGATGCAAGACGTGGGGGCTCGGACCAGGGTGTAGTGGTGATGTTTTGACAAGCAGTCACGTTTTTTTAAACCCGTTTTAATAAGAAATCGTGACTGATTTGATGTGGAGTGGGTGTGTGACAAAGAGACAGAATCGGGGGTGATCCTAAGGCTTTTACTCTGACCAACTGAAGAAATGGAATTTTCCATTACTGAACTAGAAAAGTGCAGGTGACGTTCATTTTGGGGAGGCCAAGAATTTGTTTGGCCAATTTATTTGTGATTCCCTATTAGATATCCAAGTGGAAACGGTAAGTAGGTAATAATATATATGCATCTGTAATTCGGGGAAGAGTTCTGGAGCCGGAGATGAACATTCTGGACGTACTAATGTGTTATTCGTTGATATTTATAAGAGTGAGTACAGATAGAGGTTGGAAAAGCGAGCCAGTGGGAACACTCCGACATTCAAGGATCCCGAAGGTGTTGACCCACCAAAGGAGTCTGTGTAGGAGCTGTTCATGATGTAGAAGGAGTATCAGAAGAGTTAGGGTGTCCTAGAAGGCAGTGAAGAGAGCGTTTCTAAGGGGGAGAGTAAGCATCCCTGTCAGCTGGTGCCAAATAGCGATCAATGGGTTTAGCAATGCGACGGGCATTTGGTAAACTTAACAGGAGCATCTTGGAGGAATGGGGTGGGGGGAGGCACTTGATTAGAGGGGGTTCCAGAGAGAATGGGAAGACGGCATGGGGGAGAGTGGGTGTATGGTAACGTGCTTTGCGGGAGAGGGGAACAGAGACGTGGAGTGGTAGATGAAGGGCCTCGTGGAGTGGGGTTGAGAGGAGGGAGACAGAAACAATCTCGGAGGAGACGGGCAGGGGCGTGGGTCAGGGAAGCGGAATACGCCGGCGGTATAGCACTGGGCAGCGTGCTGGGCTCGGTGAGGGGGAGGAACTCGGAGACGCGGTTCAGGGACACGGTCGCCAGAGCGTAAGGCCCGCGAGGGGGCGCTCGCGGGCTGGTCGCGGGTGGCTGAATCCCGAAGAATAAAGGCCGGATCCTTCCCGGGGAAGGAGGCGCTAGAAAAACAAAGGCCTTTCTCCTTCGAGGGCAAGGATAGCCACTCCCAAAAGTACGCACGCTGTGAGCAGGATTCGAACCTGCGCGGGGAGACCCCATTGGATTTCGAGTCCAACGCCTTAACCACTCGGCCATCACAGCCGCGTGCGGCTTGGGGCCTGCGCCACTATAGCTGCCTATCAACGGGCCCGCCTCCCGCCGGCCCCGCCTCTCCGCCTCGAGACGTCTGTGCGCGTGCGCCTCCCCGCGGCAGTGCGGGCCTCACCTCCTCGCCAGCCGCCGGAGGCCTGCGGAAGGGGCGGTTCTCGCGTTCTCGCTCCCTGCCCCAAGTCTCAGGACGGCCCCAACAAAATGAGGCAGAACCCGAACCCAAGCCCAGGGCGCCGTGCCCTTGAACGCATGGGATGCCCGCGCCACCCTGGTTCCTGAAAGCGAAGTGGGGGTCGGCCTGCCGATTCACGCTAAAAGTGCGCGGGAGCGGAAGCTCAGGGTGGAAACGGCTTGGTAAGAATAAGAATCTCTGGAAAGGCGCCACAGAAAGACCCTTCGGGAAGATTGGAGAGACGCGTTGCCCTCGGAGCAATAATATACCGCTTTCTGCGGACCCAGGCACCGCTGGGATTCGAACCCAGGATCTCCTGTTTACTAGACAGGCGCTTTAACCAGCTAAGCCACGGCGCCGGCGGAAGGCGCCGTGCGCCTGGAGATAGATCAGCTTCTCGCGGGAGTCAGTGCGTGAGAAATCTCAGAGACCGAATGTTGCCGCGGGTCCCCCGTGACCCCCGTTCCAAGATTTGTCCCTCCGGCCCCCCCCCCCCCGCCCCGGCTCCTGAGCCGAAGGGTTAACTCCCCGCCCCTCCTTTCTCCCACACCCTGGCGACCAGTTCGACCATGGATGGGCACGTGACTTCCCGTCCCTTGGCCACGGAGACCCGGCCGTCTCCGTGTGTTGGCCGGCTGGGTGGGCCTCCCTCCCCGTGGGGCACCTGTCCGCGCTGGAACTCGCTCAAACCCTAGACTCAAGTTGCCCTTCATCTCCCGCCCAGGACAAACGCAGCTGGAAAGGGTGTGGAGGAAGGCAGGAGGTCGCTCACCCTCGCCACCACCTCCCTGGAAGCGGGGCCACACCCCTCCACCAAGAGCTCCCCTCACCCAGTCCCCAAACTTCATTGCACAAAGTCTTTTTTTTTTTCTTTTTGTATTAAAAAATAATAACAGACACAATATCAAAAACACAAATGCCATCGGTAGAGGGTACAGCTGAGAACACCTGGGTCCCACCTGAGGGGCAGCACCAGGGACTCCATGGTCCACCAACGTCCCCCACCCTGGAGCAGCTAGGGGTTTGGACCGCTGGGTCCTGCTTGGGCCTCGGGCCCTCCTCCTCCCTTCTAGGAAGGAGGTGGGAGAGCGAGCTGTCTCCCCCAATAAATAAGTGTAGCCCCAACCCTCAGGGACCTGGACTTGGGCTCAGCCAGGGCTTGGAGAGACCACTTCAGCAGCTCGTCAGCAGCCTTGTCCAGGGGAAGGAAGGTCTCCTCACCAGCGGTGGGAGAGGAGGCTTCGCTGGGCTGGGCTGGGCTGGCTGAAGAGTCCCACCCTCTGTACCCTAAGAAGCCAGAAGCTGCCCCTGGATCCTGGGCTGCCGATGGGGGTCCGGCCCCCTAAGCGGGAGAAGCTGGGGCAGTTTCCTATCGGTTGGTCCAGCCACGGCTGGTTCTGAGAGGTGGAAGAAGGGAGAAGGAAGCTTCTCATGCACTCCCAGAGGTGGCCCCAAAATGTGGTCTAGCTGGTGCCATTTTCCGTGGCAGGTAAGGCTGGACTGGATGGGCTCCCACCTTGTTCCTCCTCCTCCATGGCCAGGTCTTGGGAGCTTGAAGCCCTGGCCCCAGCTTGAGCGCCGGCCTCCTCTCCGCCCTCACCCTCGCCACTGCCGCCACCACCACCACCACCACCACCACCCTCGCCTCCGCCCTCCTCCATGGGCTCCAGTCCCAGTCCGTCCAGTTCCGAGAAGAGCGGGTCATCAGGGTGGCCGGGGTCTCGGGTGCTACTGCTGCAATCCACACAGGCCTCGGAGGGAAAGGGGAGAAGTCAGACGAGGCGCTCCCTGCTAAGCTGCCACCCCAGCCCAGGAGGACTCCCCCAAAACGTGCTCCCAAAGAAGTACCAGTCCACACAGACAAGCGTGGGCCAGTGAGACTGAAAATGTACCGCTCCCTGTTGTCTGGACCCCACTATAAGACAGTCACAACACCCGTTAGCATAGAATTGGCCCGAAAATGTCTGTAAAGACTCATGTAATGAGATACTATCTGACCCAGCAGAAAACTTAGTGGAATTAACATCCTTCAGGATTAAACACCCAAGGACAGACAATGGGGGGCGGGGGGGATCAGCCCCTCAGCCTCTAACCTTTCAACCCAAGCTCCATCCCCCTCCTTCTCCCTCCCGGCCCTAACATCTCTCACCATCACATCGAGGGCCCGAGGCAGCTGACCCTTCCGGACCCAGGAGTGCACAGCACCCAGTTCCCTGCGCTGGTCCTCTGAGAAGCGAGGCTGTTGCTTCTGCATGGCCCGGAGCCGCTCCCGGTCCTGCTTCAGCACGGAGGCCATGTCCCTGCCCGGGGAAGGGGTGCAGAAGGCAGAGGCTGGAAGCCAGGGCCAGAGCCTGCGAGGCGGCCCTTCTTCCTCTATGGCAGGTGCCCACCCACGGCCTCACGCTCCTCTCAACCCCGCGCTAGGAGTTCAGGGCTTCCAAGAGCAGAGAAGCTGTCCTCGGCATGGCAAGAACGAGTGCGGGGTGGAGTTCCCGGGGCCCAGGGACAGGGCAGGAAGTCCCAGGACAGAGCCAGCCCCGGAAAAGAAAATCCCAAGCTCGGTGGGAAGGGGAGCGTAGGCGAGCCTCCCCACACCTCTGAAAGGGGAGGCAGAGGCGGCCCCTGAAACTCCTCACCTGGAGGGCACCTGGTAGGTCATCATGACGCGCTGGTCGGCGTTGGCCATGAGCAGCCAGATGGGATCCTGGAGCACGTACTTAATGACCTGGTCCCCAGGCTCAGCCCTGGCCGGGGCGGCCCCAGCTTCGGCCTCAGAAGAGTCAACGCTGCCAAAGTACTTGCTCGTGTGGCTGCTCTGACTGCTGCCTGCGAAGCGGAGGGACCACTGCCGCCGTCAGGCCTCCCGGGCCCGCCCTCCAGGCCACACCTGTAACCCACTGGCCTGAAGAAGCAGGGCCTGGCCTCCCAACTCCCCCAGTCGCCGGCCTCCCGGGGTCAGAGGGGACGGGGCGGGGGGGGGGGGGGGAGGGGGGCGGGGCACGCACGTGTGATGCTGGCTGAGGTGCTGCCTCCCTCGTGGGAGCCTGCCCCGGACCCGGACCCGGAGCCCAAGCCGGAGCCCGAGGAGGCGGAGCCCGTGCCAGATCGAGAATCTTCTTGCAGCAGCAACTCCAGCAGGTCACTGGAGCCCGACAGCGCGTCCTGATTGGAGGACTCCGTTACCTCCACCTGGGCGGGGATGAGGGGGAGCAGGGTGGGATTAAGGGGCCAACACCCAGGCTTCCCTTCAAGTGCTTCCACTGGATGGGGGACACACCCAACCCCAGTGGCCTCTGCTGCCCCTCTGTGACAGTGGGGCCGGGATGAAAGAGAAGAGAGCTGGCCCAGAGTAGGGGCGTGACGCTGGACCCTTTCCAGGAGGCACGTGCGCACTCAGAAGTTACTGGGACGTTCTCGCCACCTGTCGGACAGGATCATCCCTACTCCACAGACCAGGCGGCCGATTTCGCCCTCATTCAGAAATTCAGCTGGGGTCTCCCACCCCACAGACACCATCTCCTGGAGACCGAAGCCCGGCAGGCAGAGGGGGCGAAGCGTGAGGTGGAAAAGGAGTGAAGGGAAGGGGGCTGGAGGGGAGTGCTGGTAAAAGGACGCAGGGGGGTCAGTGCTCACCAGTCTGGCCTCTGGCTCAGCAGCCTCCCCACTGGGAGGCGGGGGCCCAGCACTGCTCCCAGTGCCCCCTGCAACAGCACCCCCTTCAACACGGGGGGGCTCCTCAAGCTGCAGCAGATTTAGCTGGAGTGGGGAGCTGCATCTCGAGTTGAACAGGGGAGAGTCGGGCCGGCGGGGAGGGCTAGGGGGCGGTGGGGGCAGAGACGGAGAGGGGGAGTGGGAGGCCGGGGTTGGAGGCCCTTCAGCGGAAGTCTGGGGTACCCCATAGGGATAGCCGGACGGGGTCGGGAACAGGTAGTTAGGGAGCACCAAGGCTACCATTGGGGTCACTAGGGGGGCAGGGAAAGCTGCAGGGGGCCCGGAAGCAGGGGCGGAGGGAGGAGGGTGGGGGCCTCCCCGTGGGAACACGGGGAGAGGGTAGGGCTGGACCATGGCTGGGAAGGGAGCAGTGGCCGGTGGGGGCGGCCAGGGGGCAGAGGGTGGCACGGGGGACGGGTGGGAGGTGAAGCAAGGGGCTTCAGCCCGGGGGGTCTGGTGGTGGCGTGAGCGCTTGGCTTTGGATCGGCAGTGGTGTCGGCGACCGGGGGGTGCGGGGCCGTGGTGGCAGCCTGTGGGGAGAGACCAGGGTTAGCGAGGGCCTCAGCCCGGGGGTCAGCATCCCTGCCACCCACACCGCCCTGCCACTCCGACCAGGGAGAGGGCAGAAGGCCCCGAAGAGAACCTGGCTTCCGGCCACACAGCACAGAGGGGACGCCAGGGAGGAGAGGGAACCTTCAGGGAAGAATCACAGGAGGCAGGACGAGGGGGATTTATTGCAAAAGGAGCCAGGAAAGGAAAGGTTACAAGTGGGGTGGAGCAGAGGGTACACAGAAGACAGAGGCGCGCTGGCTGATGGGAGGAAGCAGGATGCGTCCGTGGGCGAACGGGCAGGCAGCTCCGGTCCATCCCCCAAACTCCCACAGTAACGCCAGCCTAGGCGCTCCTCCGGCCGGTCGAGGCCACGCTCGGCCTAGCTTGAGGTGGAGTGATGAGATGGCCGGGAAAGCCCAGTCCCGAGTCCCGCGTCCGCCTGCAGGGAGCCTCTCTCAGGCACCTGGAGGGCTGACATCCTGCCCTTGAAGCCCCGACCCCACAGCAGCTGTCCCGGCACGCCTGGCCTGTGTCTGGCCTGCGGTCTACAGGGGCTTCTTCAACAGCGACAACTGGGTCACAAGTGGGCACGCTTCAGCCCCTGCCCCCAAGATGGGCTTGAAAGAGCTTACCTGGAGCGGAGCACTCCGCCTGCCTGTCTCAGTGCCAGCCCCCCCCCAGGCTGCCCTCCTCTGGCTGCAGCCCGGACCCCCCGCCTAGTAGGGAGACGCTAGCGAGGGGCCTGTCCCTAAGCAGGGCCCGGGGGCCCTGGAGCAGGAATGTCTCCCTCGAGAACCCCCTGCCCCCGACCCCCGACAGTCTGGTCCCAGACTGGGCAGAGGACGAGGCTCAGGGCTGTCCTGGGTGGCTACCTCGCTCGCCAGGGACCAAGGGGGCCGGGGAGGAGCCGTCAAGTCCACGCAGTCGGCCGAGATCTCGGAAGCGGCTGAGGAAGGCCTGCTCCTCCTTCTGTGTGTGCAGGGACAGCACGGCCTTGGTCAGGCCCACCGGGCGGTAGGCATCTGGGGCTGGGTCAGGGGCTACTGTGGGGCTGGGGGCTGGGCTGGGGGCTGGGCCTGGAGCCAGGCCAGGCAGGTCCTCCATCATGATGATGTCTGAGGAAGGCGAGACGGAGGAAAGGTCACTGGAGTCACCTCAGGAGTTAGTACATCCATACCACACCCTCTCCATCCAACAACCCAGCCAACCCCTGGCCTCTGCCCCACAGCCAAGCCTGTGCCCCACGTGCACCCCTTGACCTCCTCCCTGCTGAGGACTGGTTCTGGGCCCTCTTCTCCATGCAAAGCGGTCCCAGGGTGAGAGAGAACACTTAGTCCCCTCCGGTGACAGTCCCCTAGGATAAGAAACACCTCCAAGACTCTCCTTGGAAGGGAAGCTCGCTCCTTGCCCTCCCCTCACACGTCCTCCAGGACAGCACCCGGCGACCCTCTAGGGGTTCCCAACAGTCCCTATCCTCGGACCCTCTGTGGACAGCACCACGGGGTCGGGCCCCCCACCCTAGACCTTGTGTGCGAACCGACAGCGAGAGCACGGAAAAACAAAGCAGTGAAGGCCGGCGGGGGTGAACAGCAGGCAGCAGCCCCAAGCCAAGACGGAGACCTCCTCCTCTCCGTTAGGGGCCAGACAGGGAAGGGAAAGGTGGGCAGGAGGGAGATCTGGCTGGGGGCCGAGTGCAACCCCCTCACTCCGCGCCCATACCCGACTCCGGGGGCTTCTTGTCTCCCACATGGACGATGGTGGAGCTGAAGCTACACTGACTGGTGACGGACACCACGCTCTCTGCCTTATTGGCCAGCGCGAGCGGGCTCAGGGCGCCTCCCACCACCGGCTCCTTCTGTGGGGTGGCCCCCTCCCCGGACAGCACTGCCGATGCATCTGTGCAGAGAGATGGCACCAGTCACCCCCGGGAGGTCGGACGGGAAATCCCAGAGAAGACGTGGAAGGACAGACGGGACAGAGAACTCCGCAAATCTGAAGGCGGGGAGGGGGACAGGGTGGAGCAAGGTGGGGGCCCCAAAGGCAGAAATGCAGAGACACGGGGCCAGGGGGCCAGGGCGTGCACGGGGTCCTTACCTTTCTTGGCCCCCAGAGGGAGCGGACCTGTCCTCTGCTTGTCATCGTCGGAGGCTGACGAGGTGGTGCAGGAGGAGGAGGCACATTTACGCTTGGTGGTGCTGGGAATGTTACAGCTTTCCAGGTACCTGCGGGGCAGGGGCGCCAGAGGGCATGAAGGCAGGGCTTGAGGTGGGCCGAGGCCAGGACCCAGGTGGGAGAAGGTTCCGGGGTAGCCTGACCTGAGGATGCTGTCCAAGCAGTTGATCTGCTGGTAGGAACAACCATTGGCTTCTTTTCTCTCCACCTCCTCAGGGGTCGAGGTGAGTGGAGCCTGGACTGGAGCAGGGACCATCTCCAGCTCCGGGTCTGGGGACTGGCAGGAAAGGGTCTTGGCCTTGAAGGTGCCTGTGGCTGCGCCAAGGAGAGAAAAAAGGAGAGACAAGCTCCTCTGGGTTGGGGTGAAGGTCAGGGGGCCCCGGGGTCTCACTGCTCAGCCACACCCTCACCAACTCACCAGGGAGGCGGGGCCGGGGCGGAGGCCAAGCGCGGGACTCGATGAAAAGCTGCTGGCCCTGATGTTTCACCAGGTGCACGTCCTTACAGATCTGCTGGAAGGTCACCTGCAGGACAGGGCAGGGCAGTGTCACTGGTCCAGGGCACAACGCAACGAGGGGTACTAGAGGGGAGGCACAGGGACCACGGTGAACGCAGGACAGGAAGGAAAGGCACGGGAACTGGGCCTGGACAGGGGAACGTGACACTAGAGGGCGAGGCAGGGGAGGGGGAGGGACACTCACCGGGGCGGGAGGCCCGGGCCCCTCGGCGTCACCCCCGTTGCTATCACTGGAGGAGCCAGGGCTGAGGAGAGGGCCCGGGGAAGCGGCGGGGCCGACCCCACAGAGCCCGGTGGGACTGGGGCTGTGTACCGGCTGAGGCAGAGAGAGAACCTGGTTAGATGTCTCAGCCCTCCTCCCCGCGCCCCTACCCCTGCCTCATCTCCGAGCCCCGCCCCTTGACAGTCACCTGTAACAGCAGCCTGTGGATCTGTTCGGACAGCTCCTGGATATCAGAGTCCAGAGACAAAGCTGGGCTGGGGGCCGGAGGAGTGAACACGTCCTCGTTCAGGGGTGCCCTGCCGGGTGGAGAAGGCTAAGTCGGGCCCTGCCCCCTCCTGCGTGGTCCCAGCCCACAGGGCCAGCTCTGGGGCCCACTTACGTGCGCACTTTGTGGCGTCCCAACACAAAGGCCACCTTGCGGCTCCAGGGGTGCACGAAGCCAGCCCAGCTGGTGTCCATGGTGACGTACTCCCCGTTCCTGGCGCAGAAGCGGATGGGGGAGTGGTCGAAGGGCTGGCCAGCCAACTGCAGGACTGAAGGAGTGAGAAGTGAGGGGAGGGGAGGGTGGGCAGGAGGCAGAGCCGGGCAAAGCAGAGGGCCGCCCACTGGAGATCCAGGACACCGAGGCCCCAAGGGACAACCACAAGCACAGCCACCGAGAGGCCCCGCAGACAGCGGAGGAAGGAGAGCAGCATAGAGAACTAACTCACTCTTCTTGTGGATGGCCAACATGAGGGGCCGGTCCTCAGGGTGCAGGAACAGGAGGACTGGGGCCCCCAGGAGGTCCTGGGGAAGGTAGCCCAGCAGGGGGGCGGCCCTGCGAGGGGAGGAGGCATCAGAGAGCAGCCATGGCCTCAGCCCTCCCCACCCCCTTCCCTCCAGGTCCTGAGCAAACCTTTCGTCCACATCCTGGAAGAGGCAGCTGGGCGTGTGCCGAGTGGTGAAGATCCTCTTGTCAGGAGGGATCCGGGGAGCTGGGGCACAGAGAGTGAGGCCACTGAATTTTTCTCCAGAATGGTCCAACTTCTCAGCCCCAAGCCTCAAGCTGGCTGGCAGGCGTCCCCACAGCTGTGGGAGCCCTCTAGCCTGCACAGACGGTCTGGACCATTCTTTCACCCCACGCCAAGAGTGAAACGGAGAACCAAAGCATTCAACCTTCCCTGCTCCTAGCTCAGGATGCTTATTCAACTCTCCCCCCACTAAAAACGGACTCAAACCCTCATCCTTATGGTTCCTTCTCTGTCCCAAGATTTTGAAGGGCTGGGACCTGCCTCTCAGACTCACGTCCTACCTCCCCACTACTGTAGGGAAGTCACCCTTCTTCCTACGCCCCACCAGGCCAGGCCCATTGCCCACACACCTTCGTAACCCGAGTGGATGCGCTCTGCGATGAGCAGGCAGCATGGCTGCGCGGGGGCCCCATCTGAGACCCGGATCTTGGTCACATACGGCGTTAGGCGGAATGGCTGGTACCGAGGCCCTGAATCCCGGTCAGGACCCCCTCTAGCAAAGGAGACAGAGAGGCACTAGTGACTCTTAGTGGAGGACCACCCGCCCTTCACCTCAAGGTCATGGACCATGCCGCAAAACAGCAGGGGTGTGGATGATGGGAGGGGGTCTGCCCCCACATCCCCCACCTACCTGATACGGCAGAAGACAGACTTCTCCTGGGCGAAGTCCTTGAGGCCTGAACCTGGAACAGACCAGGAGGGTGCTAAGGACAGCCCCCCACTTCCTCCCTGGCCCCTCAGAACAGGGACTCCCTGGGACTGCTGGTCCCTGGCCCCGAGCACTTGGGGACCTCACCTGCTGAGGCCCCGGCGCCCCAGGTGGGCAGGCGAGATGGGGCAGTGGAACCGTAGAAGACGCCCACATCCTGGGGGGCCAGGAGCTCAGAGAAGCGGGCGCCCCGGAACACGTCCCGCTTGCAGTGCAGCAGGGTACCGGCCTGCTCGGAGATGTAGACGATGCGGCCCGTCAGGAAGGAGACCGCCACGGAGAAGGTATCCTGGGCAGGAAAGAGAGGGCGAAAGTAGACTCAGGAGCCTCGCGACGGAGGACGGGTGGCGCGGCGGGATGGAGAGGCCGGGCCGCAGCTGACCTGGTTGCGAAGCGTATACTCAGACGTGATGTGCTCCAGCTCCTCCAGGGTATAGGTGGACATGTCCATGGCACAAGGTTCACCCTCCTCCAGGCTCCACTGCTGGTAGTATTCTTGGTTGGCTGTAGGGCGAAGGTGGTGAGGTATCTACTGAGGACACTGCCCACTGCCGCCCCCCCCCCCCCCCCACCACGGTGGCCCAGCGCCCAGCCACGGCCCTCCCAGGAAGCACCACTCACCCTGCACCTGCTTGACACAGGCCAGAGCATACTGAAGCGTGGCCAGGGTCCCGGAGCGGCCCTTGCCCCGACGCTCTGGAGGCAGCCGAAGCTTGAGCTCCCGCAGAGCCGTCATGAGTTCCTTCTGGGTCCTGGCCCGGGCGGACTGTTCGCTGCTGCAGGGCCCACAGGGAGGTAAGGGGTATAGCTCTTAGGCCCAGACCTGGCCCAGGCCCCCAGCCTTCTTCTTTGGCCCTCACCCCCAC